CAAGTCTTGCAGGCTCTTAAAAGTTTGAGAAAATTAGAAAATCTGCATAAAGAGATGTATACTATTTTCAAATGAAAACCACACACACGGCTTTGACTCATATAGTGCAAGAAATTTCCGCCAAAATACTTTTTACTTAGAAAATTTAGCTAATTTCACCACTCACGACACCAGCATTCTGGTACAATCACACCACAAGAACATACACGGTCAATCGACTTGATGAGCCATTTAACAAATTTAGCATATTAAGGGCCGGTTACTCAATGTCTGGTTAACACTAATCTTCGGTTAAACATAGTTATTGACGTTACCGACTCCCTGTTATATGTATGGCGTCGAAGTCGTCGATAACGATGTTTAACCGCCGATTAGTGTTAACCAGACATTGAGTAACCGGCCCTAAGGGCCGTAAGGCACGCTCCTGTTGCGCACTTTCGCCACAATTATAACGAGTTGTCCCTTCTTGTTATCTACGTTCTGTGTTTACAGTATGTATGTATGAAAACGTAAGGTACATACAATCATGTATGTATGTATATATATCAGTCTTTCTTAGTTTAAAAATTCATCTCTTACATAAATTAAAAAAAAATAGATCAAATTAAGTATATAACTTTTTCATTCCTATGCTTTCAAGTCTGCTCGTTCGTAGGCGAAGGAGGTGAGAAGAGAGGGAAGAGTACAGATACCTCCGTACCGTCAATTCGTTTCAAGTTTTCTTGTCTCTTTTGATCTTTTCGTTGCTTCCCAATTAAAGAACCAAGGACTTGAATTCAATTAAAGTTGACGCGTGTGGAAGCAAATAGAAAACACAAAAGAGAAGGAGAAAAAAATTGCTTTCAAGACTTGACGTGTCTGAAAGGGGACTAAACATAGCCACCAAAGGGTTAAAACGGCAACACTGGCTATTAGTCTGTTCCCGTCATGAACCAAAAAGACAAGATCACGCGGGCAGGAGACTAGCCCGTTAGAGTCGCATTTAGGAAAAAAGTTGAACGATTTTGACATTAGCCGTTTGTTTACATTTCTTCGTTGTTTATTGTGTGTACACATAAGGTAAAGAATAATTTAACACAACGGCATGATTTATAGAAGAATTTGCATAATAAAAATGATTTTTCATGCGTTCAACAATTTCGCGGTTTTCTCCGTTCTCTTCGTTGTTTACTTCTTACAACAAAGATGGCGTCGAGATTTCGGCAGCTAGAAAATAACTTTTTTCGTTCTTTCCTTCCCGCGTGATCTTGTGTCTTTCGTTCATGTGTTCCCGTACTATAGGGTTTAACACACACACACGTAAGTCTAGAATACCAACCGTTTAGCTGTAAAAAAAACAAGAAATGAGGATCGATAGAACTTTTTACGTTAATTTCAACCAAATCCAATAAAAGAGGTTAAAGTTCAATTTATCTATTTCTTATGTGTTTAATATCTCGGAAACCACTTAACCGATTAAAAAATTGATATTAATTTCAACATAACCTAAATGCCTTTTATGCGACGTATATACTATAACCAGTTTTAAAACTAAATTAATTTTTATTTTATTTTGTTTTTTGTATTTCCGGACTAAAAATATAAAAACACATATAAATTATACATGAACATGAAAGATAAATGAATTACCTTTACTTTGACGTCATTCGTTTTTTTATAGGTTATGTTGTTCAGAAGATATTGATGTTTAAAAAAATTAGAAAATTTAAGTTTAACCTTTGATATTTTCGTTATGTTTTACTTTCGCCATATAATTTTGGTAGGCTTGAGATCAGCACAAAAAGTTCTATCGAGCCACATTTTTGGTTTTTGCATCGCTAGATTGTTGATATGCTAGACTTATGTGCACAGAACGACCTCGGACTAATTCTGATTATATCCTGCAGTACGGGAACAGACTAACTGTCGGCAAGTTGGTTGAAGGTTTGGATTACCAAAGACACAAACCAAATCGGGTCAAAAAAAGGGTTGCATTCGCATAAACTCCAAATAAAAGAGTTTAAGCTGAAGCACAACACCGGCGAACGGCAAATTTTTCGTCGCGAATGTACGCTGAGATAATTAAAACACACTGATTTATATGAGAACGAACAACCAAAGCAAACGACGAAGTTTGCTCGACGACTGTTCGCGACGATAGATTTATTTCTATCGCCGCGGTCAACGGCAACGACAAAAAAAGGCCATGATGACCATACTTTAAAAGTTATCGTAATTTTTGTTTAAAAGTAAAATTATATACCTTATATTTTTCTATCAGGGATTGGGCTAGTAAAACGTAAGTTTACTAGTAGTTATATTTAAAGACTATTTCTATATTTTAAACTTCTTCTTGTTGGTATTTTCCCTCTTCGTTGTAAAAGCTTCCTTCTTGAAACATGATCACCTTATCAGCTGACAGCATTCGAACCGCTCGATACCGCTCTATTCATCGCTCTGCTGGGCGAAATATGCCGTTCGCCGGGTATTGTGTTTCAAGCATTTTTAAGGAGAGTTTAACGGAATTTTTTGTATGGTAAACTCCATGATCCTACTACATCTAACAAGATGAAGCAAAAGAAGGAAGAAATAAGTAATTTTCGGGCTTGTAATTTCGTCGCCATGTTATTTTCTTTGAAAAGTAAACAAAGAATATGAAGACGAAGCATAAAGAAAAAAATGCAAGCAATTTTGTAGCACATGTTTGTGCTAACCAATTTATTATATTTGTACGTTTCTTTGCAACCAATCACCACGCACTTCATTTTAATAACATTTGCACAAAAAATTTATTGAAAATTTGCTTAAAAATCACTGAAATAAACCACCGACAAAATACACATCAAGAAAGAAGCAAAACAAAAATAGCAAACTTCAAAATTATGAACGCCGCACACTTTTTTCTCAATTGCTATTACAAATGAGTGCTTTTCAACCGGTCAGATGTGGTCTAATTGGTTCATGGGTAAACTCCGAGTTTAAGGGCCGGTTGTTCAATGTCTGATTAGTACAAATCGGAGGTAGAAGTTCCGGTTAGATACAACGACTGCTTTATCGATCACATGTTAATGGAGTTTTTGCTTTTCTTGAGAGCTGCATACAGGTGTTTATTTAATAGGTTTAATTAAAAATAAAAAAATAAGAAAATAAAAATAAAATAAAAAAATTTTAAATTAATAGTTAAAAATTAAAATTAAAATAAAAGGCAGATAACACTGGTCTACAAATTTCAACTTTTTTTCTGCGAATAAGACGGGACCTGGTGTTTCTGAACGGATTTTTCGTGCTGAACACGAATCCGGGGTCAAAAATGTCCCATCACGTCACGTTTTCGAGAAAAAAGGGGTTGAAACCCCTAAAAACAGCGTTTTTGGCCATTTTCGAAAAATTATAGAGCTGAACCCTGACGTGGTACAAATTTTGCATATATCAGAAATTAAAGGCTAAACCGTGCCCTTTCGAATGAGCCCTATGCCGAATTGATCGCGTGCACCCTTAAAGCAGGGGGTGTATTTGTGTTTAGGCGTGCAGGAAAAATTGATCACAGAAAGAATTTAATCTTAAACGATCATAGAAAATTAATAATGCCAAGGTTTTAACTATATTAAAAGTCGCTGATTACGAATCTGCAGTTAGATTTTAAAAATTTAAGAAATTTATATGGTCGTTTAAGATGAAATTCTTTCTGCGATCAATTTTCCCTGGACTCCTAGACACAAATACACCCCCTGATCTAAGGGTGCATGCGATTAATTCGGCATAGGGCTCATTCGAAAGGGCACGATTTAGCCTTTAATTTCTGACATATACAAAGTTTGTAGCACGTCAGGGTTCAGCTCTACAATTTTTCGAAAATGTCCAAAAACGCTGTTTTTAGGGGTTTCAACCCCTTTTTTCTCGAAAACGTGACGTGATGGGAAGTTTTGGACCCCAGATTCGTGTTCAGCACGAAAAATCCGTTCGGAAACACCAGGTCCCGTCTTATTCGCAAAACCCTTGTAGACCAGTGTAATTATTTAATATGTAAAAAAAAGTAAATTAATTATATTGGAAAAAGGAAAAGTAAAATAAAATAAATTAAAAATTATAAATTTAAAAAATGGAAAAATAGATATTATATATGTATATATATTTAAAAATATAAAGATTATATTAAAAAAAAAACTTAATAGGATTTTGTAAAGTTTAGATTTTTAAGTTATCATATGATTATTTGAAAGGGAATAATTTAAACGAGTTTAAAGGGTTAGAGATTTTTTTAAATGTTTAAAAGTATTAGCCTGCCTTAATAAATTACGTAATTCACTTAGATATATCAATATTCCGTTCAACATTTCGTTTAAAATGCCAGATGTCTTGCAAATACATTAGAATTTACAAAAGGAATTTCACTACTAATTGCCTACTTTGCGTACTTTTCTACAACCATTTTCGCACCAAGAGAATTCATTCCTCCCCTTTTCTCCGTCCTTCGTAAATGCAACCTTTTGTAAGGGAGTGTCAAACCGCAGCTGTCAATAATTATCTAACCTTGTATTATTGGATCATGTGGTAATACTTGTATGCAAATCTTTTGCTTGCACTGCAACGTTTTGGAGAGTTATATGGCAATACTACGTTTTGCTTCTGGATGGCAACCTTATGTTATAATTTTGCTAACTTGTGCTGCTTCCACATTTGGTATTTCGACGAAACGTATAATTAATTAACAAGGGTAACCTGCCTATTCCTTGCTATTTTTTAATGCTTATGAGCATTGTTTAGTTAAAACAAAAGCAACAAGAAATTTACCTCGTAATATTACGAGGGGCTCGTATATAGACCTCCATACAAATTTTGACAGTTATTTTATGAAGAACGTGAATTTACGAGGTTTGCGAGTCTTTTACGAGTTTAAGGGAAGAGCCCTTTTGTTTACGTTCTTGGCAATTTATATTCTAATCCTCTTTATTTCACCCTTGTTGGGTTTATTAATGGTAGTCAGGCAACGTTAACATAAATTAAGTTTGGTAGCACTTGTATATGTCAGCGAACGCAAATTATAGTGGATTGCCGCTGACGAAGGCGCTTTTAAAACAAAAGTAAATAGATTTATAAACAAATTAGCAACAAATAGCTGTGCAAAAAGGGAGGATAAAAGACAGGTAAATCACCGAAAACATTTTTTCGAATGGAAAAAGTAGAATTTTCACGGGGAATAGATGAAAATGAGTGACTGCGTCTTCAAAAAAGGAAGAAAAGAATCTACAAAGACTTTTTATCGGATGAAAAGGAGTCGAAGATTACGGAAAGAAAAACGAAAGGATGAAGAGAAAGACCCGAATTGGTAGTAAAGTGTCGTAGAGAGCATAGTAAATAGTAAAAGGTAGTGGAATTGTAAAAAAATCGACACGAGTGTAAACTAGTGGGTGTTTATGAATGAAAAATTAACCATTATACATTTGCGAAATTTGGGGAGTTACATGTGTCAAGTATCAAAATGACCGGCTTTTAACAAGTCCTTCACCCGAACGAAATAAAATAAGTGTAACTTCCTAAAAATATAAGTGATTTGAATACATTCGTAAGGGTCGAGGGACATTTTCGGTCAATAGAAAAATACAAGTGTGAGTGGTGTCATTGTATACTTCGGTGCTGCGTTTGTGGCTACTTGCGTTTCGCCTACAAAATTGATCTTTCCCAACGTTTCGCATTTTCCTATTTGTGTTAAATAAAACTCAATAAAATTTTATAAAAACTTATACAATTTTTTTTCTTATTTTGCAGTTTTAGTAGTTTTAAGTCGTGACCACTGGCATGTACTTATACGCTAAAATAAACTTGTATCACTTTCGCAACACCACCTATTCACCATAATGCTAGTAGCAACCCCAGGGCAGGCAGCGACTTATTCCCTTCTCGGCAGTAGTGCGCCTAAGAAGACATGTCTTACCTCGTCTGCTACACCAAAGAGCACCACCAATAACTCCACTGCGACAACTAGTATTTGCAACAACAACAAAAGCAGCAGTAGCACAGCATCTACGCTCATGAAAACAATATCAGTACGGCTTAATCGAGGCACCGAATTTTTGAAAGATACTGTGCAAAAAGCGCTTATCAGCAACACCTCTAACTCTAATAATACAGCCACCAACTCTTCAAATAGCAACTTCCGCAACACCAACATCAACAACATAAATACAGCTGTTGTTGGGTCATTAAAACATATTCATGTGAAGTCAGCAACAGCAACGTCTTCATCAAACGCTTTAGGAGCAAAGTCCACAGTTTTGGCGGCAACACCATCAACATCGTCAGGTGCAATTGTTAGGACGAAAATTGCTGCCAACAATTCCAAGGCACTCAAGCTCCACACCGTTCCGCCCACCAAAATACATCGCTACCCACAAGAGCGGCAGGAAGTAAGCAGCACGGATAGTATCAACAAAGAAATGTGCCATTTTAAGCCGATACTTTCGGCACCAACAATGCGTTGGAAATGGTAAAACATTAAATTTCCTAGGTTTCGTTCTCAAAAACTAATGTTTTCCTACTTTTGTTCAGTGGTAGTAAGTCGAGAGGCGGTGCAACCATAAAAATACCCATAGCGTGTTTAGCAACGAATATTAAAAACTTGAACTGTGATGACTGTTCGTTGGTAACCTATAGCAGCAGCGAAGATGAGAAAGCAGTAGATGAAAACGAAGTTGAAGAAGAAGATGATAAGCATCCGCAAAAATACCACAGTTTTAAGCCAAAGCCAAGGTAAAGTTTATGTTGTAAATTCATATCTGTTTTGTATTTAAATTTAACATCAAAGTTTAAACCAATGGCTAGTCTTTTGCCTTAATTTTTTTACATCTGCTGGATACTGTCTATGCTGAGCAGCCAATTCCTCCAAATTTACCATTGATTTACTTCTTTTGAAATCATAAATGTTAAGCTCATCTGACACTTTTCAGATGCCTTTTGTCCTATGCTTAGTCGAGTAGTAACCTACTTAGGAACAATTCGATTTCTAATTTTATAACTATGCTGATTGACGGTGCTAGGAAAAATGTACAGCTTTACACGTCTGTCACTTGTACGTACCGAAAGTTGCCCAAACTTAGACTCGGCCATCGCCATTTAGCAGCTTTTCCCCATCAGTTTATCCACTTTTCGTAAAAGTACTTTCTAGCCATTAAACTTATTGATCAAAAAACTTCAGTGTACTTTGAATTTTATTGTAAGTTTTTTCAATTTTTCATTTTCGCTGCTAGAAGTTTCTTTCGCTTTTTTTTGTGAAATTTAATGTTCAAAATTGCATTCCTTTCTGAAACACCAAAATTCGCGATTCCTAAGTAAGCAAGATATTTCAAAATATTTGAATGCAATCTATAGAAACGATTTTAGACCGCTGATTTTGAAATCTTAAATTGCAGTTCCACCTTACTGACCACAATCATAACTTCCCCTTCGCATCAATCTGCATTCGTCCGTCTGGTCGCACAAATGAAGAATTTGGTAAACATAAATCAAAGACCCAGTGAACAACCGCAGAGTAAGTCCTCTAAAAAGATGGGTCAGTTAAAGAAACGCCACACGGCAACACGTAGCCGCCCTTCGAAAGCAGCTGTTTCATTGAAACTGCCACAGCTGCGAAAAACGCCTGTCAATTTGCCGTTGACGCAGGTCTTCCTTCGCAGCCGCAGGCAATCCTTTGTACAAGTTAAGAATCTCGATTTGCCTACTGAGCTTATTATCAAAAAGGGGAAGAAAGTCACTGCAGATGCAACTTCCAATAATAACACTGAGGCGGCTAGCAAATCAACCAAGGACATTACAAACACAACAACAAAGAAAGCCAAACGTAATGTTAGCAAATCTAAAGTCATCAATATTGTGGCATTTGCGCAGGAAAAGGGATCCGCTCAAAAACAAAGCAGCGGAACCACAACAACAAGCAAAGATGAACTGACTACTGATAATAACGTCGCTCCAGATTCGGAAGTCAAGCTCAATCAGCGTAAACGAAAGCGAATCGAAGCTCCCAGTTCCGGGGATGAAGTTGTAGGATCCAAAGTGAACGACGTTATAGTCAATGATTCCAGTGAACAAGATGTCTTGCCGCCGCTGCGCAAAAGTGCAAGGCTTTCAAAAGATGGTGGTAGTACCGATTTGATGAAAATAGGGAATTTGAAGAAGATTACCGTTAGAAAATGTAAGGCGCGAAGCATGTCTAAACGTTCGACAGATTCATTTTCCCCACCAATGACACGCTCACGGCTGAAAGAACTGATGCAAAATAAATCGAGAACGACTGTGGGAAATATCAGAAGACAGTAGGTTGTCTGCGCCATTAGGCAACGAAATTAACAACCATAAGTACTCATATTTTTTGTGACTTCCGTGCGTTGTGCCCGTTTGTACTGCTATGTTAAGTTATGTATAGAGTCGAGTGAAGTCATAACAAGGCATTCATGGAGCAGAGCCCCAAAAAGGTATGCCAGCAACCAATTTAAAAACGCCTAAATTAAAATGTGTCACTGGAAGTTTGAAAAAAAAAACATGGCATGACATTTTTTTACTCAAACTGCTTGTTAGCGCTCTGTCCATGCGTTTATTAAAATACCCTGTGTGCTGAAAATTTATTACTAATATATTGCTATTTTTATTTTTCTTGTAATAAATCATAAATAAATCGTCTAAGTCTTATTTTTGATACAAATACGAATGCAAATACATGTGACGATGAACGTGCAGAAATTATACTTCCCAAAGTAAACAGCATCTAAGCTCGAAGCAAGTAGAGTGCATACTATGATTCCATTTAATATACATAAGTATGTAGGTAGTTGGGGCAAGTCCCATTGTTTTCTTTTTTAGTTTGCAAAAAAAGTTACAGTGACATTTATTCTTTATGCCGAATCAGGCCGTTTTCAGTAAGGAGTTAACCCAAATTTGGCAGTTAACCAATTCGTGGCACTCGCCCAAATTCGGCCACTCGAAGTGAAATAAGTCTGCTTTGGATAACCAGGCGATATATGTACGGTATCGTTCATATCAATATAACCCCATTTCACAGTGATATTGTTTGCCACTTATGTTTATTTACTTAGTTTTATGAATTTTCAATTAAAAAACAGTTAAGTCTCTAACAAAACCCATATAAAATCAAGTTTAAAACATTGTATAAAATTAAAAAAAAACAAATGTTCATCCAAATTTTGAACTTTTTCTTAGGCTAAACGCATAGTTACGGTGACCATCCGTCCTGAATTGAACGGGACAGTCCTCTTTTTTGACCAATTGTCCTGGCAATTAATTTATTTTACACGGGACGCCTAATGTTCTGTATTCCTTTTAATGTCCTGTTTTTGTCCCGTATTCGGGGTTCGGTATTCCGACGCCTTAAAAGCTCATTAAAATGGCATGCCTATGAACAAGTCTGAATGCCTGTGCTTCGAATCGAGGAACACATACAGTGACCAAAATATAAATTGGGATTCTACATTTTAGCAAGGTTTTTCTTTTGCTTATTTAATGTTTATTAATTTTTTTTAAGAACTCTTTCTAACAAAAACCACATAAATCGAAATTTCCGACGTTGTGCAAAAACTATGAGAATTATTCTGCAAATTTTTACCAAAAATTCAAACTTTTAATAAGAACCTTTAGAAAAAAAATTGTTTGCAGTTTGGTAGCTCATTAAAATTTAGTGTAATAAAGTGCAAGTGCAACATGCTACTCATTTGCTTTCCAATCCACAAATTGTCAAACATACTAATTTTGTATGAAAAAATGCGTAGCACCGACGCTTTGCTCGCCGCTCCACTATGCTTTTAGCCTTAGAAGCATAAGAGTTTTTCAAGTATACAGTTTTATAGCCCATTAAATTTTAGTCCAATAAAGTGCAAGTTTCAAGTGGCTAAAAATTACCGTTGATTTTTTAGATGTTTTTCTCACTTGCCTCCATATAACGAATAAACATACCATTACTCAATAAAGTTTAGGTACAGCGAATTTTTTACAATACCGGCAAATATTTTTTAAATAGTTTATTTTTCGCTAATTTGTTATAAGAATATAAACTAAAATATATACACTCCAAAAATCAGAGCTCCCAACCTTATGCAAAATTAAAGAAAATTCTGCAAATTTTCATCTTAATATTGCATCTTTTATTTACACTCCATAGAAAAAAGCTGAGTACGCAGTTTTTTAGCCCACTCAATTTTAGTATAACAAAGTGCAAGTTTGAGATAGCTGGAACTTACCATTGATTTATAGCATTTTTTTGTTGTAGGTGTCGCTCATTTTCTCCATATAAGATAATGTTCGATATTTTTTTTTATATTGAAAAAATGTGCGACACCTTCAACAAAAAAAAATGCCAAAAATCTATGGTAAATCCTAGCTTCCTCATACTTTCACTTTAAACTGCATACTCAACTTTTTCCTAAAGAGCGTAAATAAAAAGTGCAATATTTGAATAAAATTTTGCAGAATTTTCCTTAATTTTGCGCAAGGTTTGGCACTTTGATTTTTTGTTTCTTTTTTTTTTTTTAAATTAATTTATTTTTTTCTAAAAAAATTAACGAAAAATAAAACATTTAAGAAATAGTTGCCTGTATTGTATCTTTATTGACTGACTGTAATTTATTTTTATATGGAAGAAAACCGCAACACCATCGGCAAAAAAAATCTCAAAATCAACGGTAACATTCAGCAACTGGAAACTTGCATTTTATTAGACTACAATTGAATGAGCTATAACATGGTAAAATTAAAAACAGGTGTAGTAATACAGCAGCTTTCTCGCTTTCTTTTCTGTATTTTCTTGACTTTCGGCTATCTTATTTTTTTCAAGCAAAATTTTAAATAAAATGTTTAAAATTTTTCTTCTTGCCCTTATTACTACACCGGTAGCTCGTTTCTGTAACTCTTCTCTACCGATTATTTCTCTACTGGTAGAGAATATACGTCAATCCAAGGCGAATTTATATAAGGTGGTGTTACTAGCTCAGCTGATTTTGTGTATGTGTTTCGCCGCACGGCTTCTGATATCAAATTGAAAAATTTTGTTTGAATTTCTACACACACTCTTACAGATTTTGACAGTTTATGCCGCCACAGCAAAAACAAAATACATGTAAATTTTTGTTTTTGTACTCCTGCTATCACCTTATATTAATTCGCCTTGCGTCAATCTCTACTACTCATTAGCAGTAGAGAACAAGGCGGCGAATTCATAGATGACACTTCTGATAAAAAAAGTTTGAAATTTGTATGAAAATTGTTGATTTTCTTAGATTTCTACAAAGTTTCGAACTTGGGCTTATATGGATTTTGTTAGAGAGCGAACTATATTTTAACTGATAATTCTTAAAAATAATTAAATAAACGTAAGTGGCAAACAATAGTTGCGTTCCAGATGCTTCCCGATATTCACGAAATTCACGATTTGCAGGAACAGCTGTTTTCTCCATTAATAAACCTTATGGGAGGTGGTCACCTGCTAATATAACTTTGAAATAGAACTCCCAACACAAGAACTCTCCAAAACAAGCGCTTTTGACAGAGTCCGTTAAAGCACCCAGTGGCTTTACAGCACAAAAAGCAAAATGTTAAAAATAAATTTTCACCTAAGTTTCATAGATTTAGTGGTAGATGGGTAGCTTAGAGTCGATTTGTTTTTGTGTTCAAATTCACAAATTTTAGTTTATTTGCATTTACGCCTCGAATTTGTTTTCAACGAAATACAAATATAGAGCAAACGTTTGTTTTTCATTTTCCCTTTTGCTAAACACCAAATCTCGCAAGTTACAATGGTGTGGTGACTGAATTAGCATTAAAGCTACTGCCTTATCCTTTGCTAGCTCTTTAGTGAAGATATGCATTTTATTTCATGTCATGTCATGTCACAAATTTATTTTGACTTTGGTATATGCGCCGATCAGTCATAAAAGACAAAGTGGGTGTATCGTTTTCACAAATCGAGTAAAGGTGGAGCTAATGTTTTTTTTCATATCGTGCGCAATTAATAGGTATAAACGTGTAATAATGTTGCGCAAATTACCGGAATTTCGTGTACAAAACAAATCATTTCCTATAGAATCGGGTATTGGTCATTCAAAACTTTAAATCAGAAGCTGCCTTTTTTATTCCGTCTAACATCCAAAAAAGCTGCGACAAATGTAGTTTTTTTGTTTTAATTGGAAAAAAACGAGACTTGTATTTTGGCTTTAGATTAGATTTAACAACTTGAAATCTTGCAGAAACTATCAGTCTGCACAGATCGCCCAAATTTTTCACATGGCCGACTTCTCACATATACACTGCCGGCAAAAAGTATTGGCACAGCTGCTTTTTTACAATATATGCAACAATTTTTATTGTAATATTTTTCCGACAATTTTTTATACAAATATGGTTCATTTCACAGCAAAAAAAAAAACATAAAAATAACATATATCTAAACTTCGTGCAAAACTCGCGAAAATTCAGAAGATTTTCATACAAATTTTCAACATTTTAATCAGATTTTGTAGAATGTTTTTGAGTAAGCAGATTTGTAACCCAATTAATTTTATTGTAATAAAGTAGAAGTTCTAAGTAGCTACAATTATCGTTGATTTTGGCATCACGCAGTCACTTCCATACGATAAACATTTTTCGAAAATACTTTATATGGAAAAGATGTAAACCCCTTCAACAAAAAAATTCTCAAAAATCAATGCCATTTTTGACTAGCTCCGAACTTGCATTTTTTATACTAGAATTTGATAGCCTACAAAACTGCAAACTCAAGAAAATTCAAAAAAATCTGATTAAAAAGTTGAAAATTTGCATGAAAATTTATTGAAATTTCGCGAGTTTTTCACAAAGTTTAGAAATTATATGTGTCTGTTTTTTGTTGTAGAATGGACCATATTTTTATAAAAAGTTAGCGAAAAAATGTTAGAATAGAAATTGGTGCATATATTGTCCAAATTCGCTGTGCCAATATTTTTTTCGGCAGTGTATGTATATGTATATATTTGCATAAACAAATACTAAAAAGGTATACATATAAGCATAAAAGCTATACACCGTTATTTTTTTATTAACATTGACGCCTTAAGTGTCATGTTTTTGTAAAGTACGAAAAAATTACCGTTAGTTGCTGAGTTACAATTTGTATATTGCATTCAATTTGCTAGTGGTGATCGACGGATTGTCAAACTTCTGTTCCTCGGGCGCGTGATGTCGGCAGAGTCGCCCAAATTTTCGCGTAGATGGTGATGCTATTTCATAAAAAGTAACACTGCCGCATTAATTGCAGCTCGAATAGATTCACATGTACCAAGGTATATCAAACAGGTAGCAGCATTAGAACAAAAAACACATTTGCGTGTCTTGTTGTTGCTTCTGGTATCGAAAGAATCAAAAACTGTTCTGATTTTTTCCTTCTAAATCAAAGCGTGCCATTGGAAAAAATAAAAATTGTTGCAACTTTCTTTCTGAGTAAACTTGTTTGCTTCTCGAAGCATTGATCCATCCTTTGCAAGGCCCAGTAATCAGCGGTTGTTCTGCTGAGTTGAGCGAACGTTCCAAAAGCTGCTATTCAATCGCTTGTTTTGTATGGCAAAAGGTTTCGCATGCAAACAGACTTTAACAATTTAGAATTTTTGTGAGAAAAATTAAAATATTGGAAGTTTTCGAGACCAAATAGTTTGAAAAAAAAAATTAAATCAGCTGCTCTAATGATACTACTGTTAAATGTGCCTTGACATGTACTCGTATAGCTATTTTATTAAAACCTATAGTGAAATAATATAAAGTGTACCAGGTAACTGGCGTCTTCATATCTGAAATTAAAATTTGCTTTCATTATTTTTTCTTTAATTTGTGGTGTTCGCTTTTTTTCAAATCTTGGTTTTGTTGCAAACCTGTGTCTAATTTCTGCTTAAATCCTCATCCCCCTGGACTGAAAACATCAGTACTGCAACGCTATGAGTGCCTTTGCACAAGCGGCAAGATTTTCTTGATATATTTTCTATAATTTTTTATTCAAACCAAAAAAAATGCATAAGTTTTCACTCAAAATGGTTAACGTGAAATACCAATCAAAGAAAAATTTGTGATAATAAATTGTCAAATAAGAGTACCGAAATAGTGTCATTGCTATCTGGCACACTTTATATTATTTCACTATGGTCAAAACCTACCTTGCGCCGACTCTGAGTATTTGAAGTTTTAGTGCTAGAATTGGGCCAGCAATACAACAAGTTATTTTCTTTCAGTTTGTGGTATTAGTTTGTAATTTTTGTTTTAAGACTATAACACAAACAGCTAATTTGAACTCGATTTTTCGCGGCAATAAAAAACAGCCAATGTAACAACTTTGCTTACAGAAATGCCATCCATTTCGTGGGGAAAATTTTTTTATATTGGAACGACATTAAACTAAACTTTTAGGTTAGGAATCTTCAAATTACTGTTTTTTTTTTTGTGTTTTCAAATCTTTTATTTACTCTACTTGCTCGTTTACTTTCTAATTATTAATTTTTGTATGTGTAGCATTTAAAACCAACAGGCTAACCTAATATTCACGCACGCCGCCAATTTATTGTCAAAAAATGTTCATGCACATACAACTTGTATGGGACCAATCGAAATTGAACGGCGAAATTGAAGCTAACTCAATTTCCAATTTTTGTTCTGCGTGACATTTTGATTTGACGTTTCGTTCAATGAAATCAAATGCAAACGCCTGCAAGCCATTTTCGGGTGACGCATAAAAACAAACTCGACGGCATGCGTACCAAAACGCGAGCCGCGAATATTAGGGTTAGCCTGTAATGCAAAATGAGCAACTGCATTAAGGCCGTGTCATACGGTTTATAGGTTCTTTGTATATATTGGGCCATTGCCACAGGATTGGTACAATACAGCGAACTTCTTTGAAAAATTTGTCGTGATTGGAATAAAGAAAATATTTGTGCATTCAAACCATTGGGCCCAAATTTTGGGCAAATACCAAATCTTGTGACACTGGCTTTACAGTTAACGTTTAAAAGATCATAACTTTTTTTATTTTAAGAATTAAAATTGAATTATTTTAAGAATTTCTAAAGGAATTGTTATAACATTTAATTATTTTAAGAATTTCAAAAGGCGTTGTTGGCGTTTGACGAAACAGCCTGAATGAACTTACACTTTTTACACCACAACTATGAAATTGAGCGGCTTAAAGTTAAAAATTAAAAAGTCACAAGTAGAAGCTTTAGAATTCACGTTGTTGAATAAAAACGTGAAATTTTCGGTGAAATATTCCGAATTCGTTGATTAAAAAGGAAAAAAAGTCTAACAAAATTTTCCGTGACTGAAATTAAAAATGCACTTCATAATAATTTTTATTAAAGGGCCAGTTTTATAATGAAAACTATCATTAATTCCAAAGTGTAAAAATACAAAAGCATCCGTCTCTTTAACCGGCTTAAAAAAAAGGAGGAGGTTATCAGTTCGTCGAAATATTTTTTTTTTTTTTTATGTATGTTACCGCATAACTTTGGACCACGTCAACCAATTTCGATAATTCTTTTTGCATCGGAAAGGCAGCGTCTCAGAGGTGGTCCCATACTAATCTCATAAATTTGTATACGTTAATTGAAGGCGGTTTTGTTTTTGTTTAAAAATTACTCGTTTTACTTCTGAACCACAGCAGCTGGAATTGTCCAATATTCGCAACCACGCTAATTTTAAGTAAAGTTGCGCAAGCTAGACATTTTAAGCTGCAATACTTTGGAAATAAAAAATATAGTAGGCAAATGCTTTGTATTTTTACATTTTGGTAGGGTATACTTTTTAGTACTAATCGACTCTTAAGTTATACAAGCTTTCCAGTAAAGAAAAATAATCGGCCTTATCGCGAATTTCATGTGAACAAATATTCCCAAAAATTATAAAGCAACAATTTTTAACAATTTGTTTTTGTTTTGCCTGTTGAATTGAGTAGTCCACTTGCAAACAGCGTTAGGTGATTTTATGTTAGTAAGCCATAAATTAAAAAAACAAAAAGACTACGACAACAAGTAACACCTAAATTGAATATTTTTTTATTATCTGAAAATTTGGATAAATAAGAGCCTAACAACATTATAACATAACATAACATAACACTAACAATCTATACGACCTAAAGCAGTTTTCTAAGTTCATCAGTAGATGGAGACTTGAAAGTTTATAAATAAGTATGATAGCGACTTTTGCAAGAGTAGTTACCATTTGATGCTATTTTTTCAGAATATAGAAAGATTTTGCACTGGGTTGTTAGTGGACCCAGCTAAACCTAAAAATCGAAAAATCGAAGAAATGGAAAAAATTGTACATAGCGCACTTTGCAAGTGGACTACCCAATTATGGAAACGATTTATTCACATGGAATTGGCGATAAGGCTGAATAATATTCTGTGTTCTTTTGTGTACTCGTATACGACTACTTAATCATCCTGTGCACATACAAATGTAGCTATTTACGTTACGTTAATGTTCTTCTGATATATGCAGGCATTTTTATATGTACGTACATATGTATGTCTGATTTTATTTAGATATGTTCTTTACAAAATTTATATATGTATAAGTACTAGAAATGGAGCGCACTCAACAAATACATAAGTATTATAGAATTATGCTATAAGAAAATATTTTAATAATACATATAAGATTTAACATTAAACCGCTGATACGCAGCTCAACACTCCAGTTGAGCAATACTTTTGATGCAATATTTTGTTATGCATCTAAAGCGAACTAAAAAAAAAAAAAAAATATGGGCAACAAATACAACTAAATACATACATACATAAAAAGACCTCATTTATTTGCTTAAACTTTTTTCCAATTTTGCAAACTTTATGAATAAAATAAATTTTAAGTTTGGACTCGTTCGTTTTAAATTTAAAACTTATATTTATGCCTTTGCTAACAAATAGACGTGTCCACATGTTTTTTGTAAGTGTAATATTTGGCGTGAACGCCTGATTGTAATTATGCGGAATGCATATATATATATATGTACTTACATAAGTATGTATGTATATACTTAATGTACGTATGTTAGCATACATTTACCAATCGATTACACAAAGCAAACCAATGAAACACTTGTAATACTACTTAAGAAACAACTAACAAAACGAAACATAAATGATTAAAAATGTGTGTTGTGATATTTAAAACTTTTATTGCAAACATGCTGACGTCAGGTGAGCGTTTGCACTGGTAAATTTCGAATAAATAGCATATACTTACTATATGTATTAGGGCGTCGAAAGACGTGAGAGGGGGAATGTTGAGCTATGAGGGACTTATATAAATTATAATCTAAAAGGAATTTTGTTTTTTTTTTTTTGTTAAATTTGGAATACTTGGCAAAATGTAATGCTCAGAGGGATCAGACTATTTGATGATCAAACGAGGGCCGCACGATATATAAGCAAATAAAAATAAAATGACAAACAAAAATTATAAAATCTTAGCATAACGTATTGTATTGTATTTAACGACTACAAAAAAAAAACTTGTATGAAGGAAAAATATAAACTATAAACAAAATACCACAATTACCTATAATTACAATTTAAATTGCAATTACTACAATTACAATATAATTATAAACTCAATAAAATCATTGAAAAAAATTTAGCATTCAAATTTTATTATAGTTTCATACCCGGGCAGGAAGTGTGGGGGCCCTATAGCGATTACCTGTTGATTAAGTATAAATCGAAGCGCACGTTAGCGCGATTCTATCGGTGCAAATTCGGTTGTTAACTTCGAATCTGCAAGCGTGCGCATGCTTGCACAATTTTTTCGCATCGAAAACCGATGTACAATTCCCTTTTTTCGTATATTTCTGTACTCGGCATCACCACATCATATAAAATGGGATCGGTACAAACATTTCTTTCTTTACATTTATTGCTATGACACTTTTGTTCCTCTTCGCTTCGATTAAAGCGTTTCCTTCAATTACACAGGTTTACAAAAAAAAAGTTTCCACATATTGAATCAAACCTCTATATCCCTATGTTATTCGCCGAGTTGAATGTAAATCCGAGGTCTATTAGCCTCCATCTTGTCAGGTTCGTGAGTTCAAGGTCATTTGAAGGTCAAGTAGGGGAAAATTCATTGAATAAACCAGGAGGGTTACTCGGTAATGCGAAAAAAAAATGTTTAAAGTGTAGTGGAAAAGACGCAAATATCTTGAAATGGAAAGGATCAATTAGTCCAATATTTTGGTGGACAAAAGACAAAATATGTAGTTATCGATTGGCATCTATAAACTTTGTCCAGGCAAAATTTAATTTTTTTGCTCTTGGTTGACAGTTTCCAGGAAATACCCATATTCGAATATTTTTTTTACAGCCAGAAAACATTATTAAAAACAACGCGATTTTTTAGAAACTTAAAACGTGTACTTTACTAGAATTTAATGGGTTATTGAACTGCAAAATTTCGAAAAATCGGAGCAAAAAGTTGAAAATGTAGATGAAACTTTGCAATTTTTTAATTTCCTCACAAAGTTTGAAATATTAATTATTAAGTTTGACATATTAAGTTTGAAACTAATATTAATATAGCCAAAATGTTCTAAGCAAAGAGAAAGTAAAAAGAGCCGCACTTTGCTAAGCAAAGGGCCGCATTTGGCTCAAGGAGCCGCGTTTGCCCACCGTTGTTATATAATAAGCTAGAGTTTTAGGGAGAAATAATAAACTCTAACTAAAGAAAAATGCAAAAATTGGTCAAAACGTTGCTGGCGTAATTAGTTGATCATAAGTGTATATGAAATTCATAAAAATTCGATGTCTACTGATAAATAAGTATTAAGCCTTTATTTCTTTAATTTTATTTCATGGTACTTAACGGGGTTTTGAGCCATAATAAAATATAACTTTATGTATATGTAAGTATATGTTAACACTATACACTCCCATAAACCTGCAGAGGGACAAACAAGGCTTTTTTGTTGGGTTATTTTTCTTTTATTTAATTTCCATTATTTTACAATTAAAATACAGTTCATTCTCTAACAAAAACCAAATAAACGCAAGTTTCAAACTACATATTGATGGTCCTCTGCAATAACGACACAATTCAAAAATCAAGAAATAAAAACTGTTAAGTGGCTCTTGCCTAAATCCTTGTATAATTCATTTCCAACCCTTACTTAAGTAAGCAGTAAGGACTGCTTAAGTACGTACTAAAGATTAGACATAGATTCAATAAGAATTAGAGACATGAGCCACTTAACAGTGGTTTTTATTTTTTGAATTTTCAATTGTGTCGTTATTGCACAGGACCATCGATACGTAGAAAATTAAAAAAATTAGCATCAAAATCTCAAACTTTTTTCTCAGAATTTTTCAAGTATGCAGCCCAATCAATTTTTAACAATTTTTTATTGACGGTATACCGCAATTTGTTCTCTATAACGCATGCTCACATTTTTTTATATGGAAAAAACTCTGGAAGATCGTCGGTAAAAAAATTTCACTTTATTATCCTTAAACTAGATGGGCTGCAAAACTACACACACAGATGAATTCTAAAAACTCTGGGAAAAATTTGAAATTTTGTTGCACAAAGTTTGTAGCTTGGGTTTATATGGTTCTTGTTAGGGAATGAACTAAGGCGAATTTATATCTATAAGGTGGTGTTACTAGATCAGCTGATTTTATATATTTAACTTGGAATGAACGGTATTCAATTCACTAAAAATACTATGTATTTCAATTGAAACATAATGAAAACTAAATGGAAGTAAAATAACCCAGAAACCTGTCGAACAAGCATTGTCCCTATTTGAATGAATAATGTACGCATTAATATTTTATTACATCAGCCTCTGAACTTACATACAAAAAATTTAAAAAATTATCAGTTTCGACTTATAAATTTGTCTGTAAAAATTTTCGCGTTTACCGTTGTGTCATTGTGCTTAGTTCGATTTAAGCCGTTATTCCTTTTCATCATACACACATAGCGCATTTTCTGCAAGTGTTATGATGCAAAAAATTAAAAACTAAAACGGTTTCAAAATTTACAGTTTACATAATATTATGCGCGTGGCATATGTTCAACTCACATTAATATAAAACCTACATATGATATCATTTATGATATCCATACACGAATATTAAATATAAAGTATGTATGTATATTTACTTAAAAATTTAGCAAGGCGAGTTGGAAATGATGGAAAGCAAGATTTTTATCACCTAAATGCGAACAAAAAATATAGTTTAAGGATTCTTTAAGGATAAAGCTTAGAATGACAAGAAAGCTTTGCCAAAAATTGTCATAAATTGAAGCGATTTCATGCCTGCAGCACATGTACATATATATGCACATTCGCAATCGTGTGCGTTCTTTAGTCCACAAGCAATATTCACATTATAATTTGTGGTTCTGGAACACTAGCAGCAATACTTTTATGAGGCAGCACCTGTCCGCCATTTATGTAGATTTCATCCTTCACAATAACATCTTCTCCAAGCACTGTGATTCCCTCTATACGCACCCAGCGACCGACTACAGAACGCCAACCAACAATGCAGGAGTCCAACCATGAATGCGACCTAACTATAGCACCTTTGAGGATTGTTGAGCGCTTGATGCAAACGCCATCTTCAATTACCACCTCCGGACCGATTGTAACATTTGGCCCGATACGGCAACCCTCGCCAATCTTCGCTGTGGGATCTACTAGAACGTTGCCAACTACACCCGGACCGGTGTAAAGTTGCATTGATTGCTTCTGTCGCAGGGATGTTAGATAAAGACACATGCCTGTAGAAAAATATGTTTGTATGTGTAAGTATAAATTAGTGTACGTGGAGTTTTTAAAAATGTTTAGCCCGCAATAGCTGTGCTAAATCATAAGGTTAATAGACTGTGAGTACACTAAAAAACTTCCCTCCAATGCTTACAGATAACTATTTATATTATACACGTGATAAGCTCATTTCCGCCTCACCATCGGAAATGAATCGAGGTTCTTGTAGCAAACAAATTCCAGTTTAATCAAATATCATATCTTATCTACATATAAGACTATTGAAGCAACATATCTGTGGTCATAAGCAATAACCGCCTAAGTCGACTTAAGAAAGAATGGAGTTATATATATATTCCATGCGTACGTGAAATCCCCATCTCGCCAGTTAGGCTTTTTAAAAAGTTATAGGCGAAAATATTTTAACATTACAATCCAAATCTTTAAAGCGTTTTTTCTCGAATTGAGGTTTTTCGACTTAGGCGATTATTGCTTATGAGCACAGATACATCGAACCCAACTGAGTTCAAGCGCATTGTGCTTATGTTCTACCAACCTGTTAGAAAATCTTTCGGCTGCCCTATATCCATCCAAAAACCGGGTAATTCCATTGCATACAGTTGATTTTCGTTGGCCATTACGGGAAACACTTCTTTCTCAATCGATGTGGGTTTGACTTCAATCCGTTCCAGTACAGAAGTATTGAATATATAAATACCGGCATTAATTTTATTGCTTACAAACTCTTGAGGTTTTTCAATAAAATTTTCAATGCGACCATTTTCGTCGTACAGTACTACACCATACTTAGATGGCTCTTCCACTTTCGTGACCACAATTGTGCCCTCTTTACCATGGTTTTTATGGAACTGCTCTAATTGCTTAAAGGGGAAATCACATATAACATCTGAATTGAGTACATAAAAGGGTTCGTCGCTAGAACAGAGTATATCTTTTGCTAATGCCAATGGACCGGCAGTCCCAAGAGGTTCGGTTTCATGGGAAAATATTAAATTTACACCTAATTTCTCTGCTTCTTGCTTAAGTTCTTGTTCCATTTGCTCTGCGCGATACGAGACAGCAAGTATAACCTGAAGATATAAAAAAAGCACATATTAGGGATTTAGCAAATAACAATTCCGCACTCGATCCGCATGAACCCACCTGCATACATCCAACGCTCACTAATGCCTCCAGTTGGTGTAATAAAATTGGTTTATTGGCAAATTCCACCAGAGGTTTCGGTGTACTCAATGTCAATGGACGTAATCGTGTGCCATAGCCCCCAACAAGTATGAGAGCTCGTGTACCTTTTGTGCCCGTCGTATTTGTGCCACACATTATTGTCTTTTAATTTTATGTACCTAATTGAACAATATTATTTGGTATCGCTGCTGCACTTCTTTATGACACGTCACTATGTCAGAGTATGCTTATTCTTAAATAAATACTGCAAATGAGGTGATATTTCGCCGGTCGCATGTATGTAATACCTTTTATAAATTAATGATCATGTATTTTTCGGTTACTATTATAGTTATTTATCCACGTAGATATATGTACATTCACCACGAACTGATAAGAGGTCTACCTTTTTCTTATCCTAAGCAATTCTTCATTGTTTGGTTTTTGTTTTTCGTTTTGTTTGTGTCGCGGTTTTCGTAGCCAATGACCAATAAAATCAAGCGACGTCGACGGAACAATTTATATTCGACACTTTTAATTTAATGGTAAATTTAAATACTTTTATTTGTACATACGCATATAAGACGTATGGATTTAAAAAGCTGTTCGTCCTAAATGGTTTAATGAACTACTAAATAGAAAATTTTAGTAGAGAAAAAAGGGCTGAATTAAAATTACAGGATGTAAAAGGCAACGTCAAAAACGTTGTAACCAAAGCTGCGTACAAATAGACGTTAGATCCAGGGCTGCCAGCTTTTCTTGGGTATGAAGTGCCATATTGAGGATTAAAAGGTGAAAAATGTGCCAAATAGAAAAATAAAAGTGCCAGTGGGCTAAGTCTTCCATACAAAATAAGCTAATAGCTTAAATTTCGCGTCAAATAAAACACGCCTTTTGTTGAAAAAATTCAATGCCAAACCAATAAAAAAAATCCAGATAAACCAGTTGTATACACTATAGAAATTAGAAAATTTTTGTTCATAAAAAGAAGTACCCGCAAAGGATTTCAAGAAAATGATTGAAATATTCATATTTTTCAAAAGTGCCTTTTGGCACTTTGTGCCAAGTTGAATAATTAAGTGCCATTTATTACAGGTATATTCTGCACGTTACCGAAGATTTTGTAACCGGAAAATTGTATTACCAAAAAATGTTACCAGTTCTTGTCACCGCGATTCTAGGTACGTTGGTAATGCAGTTAAAATATTCAGCAATTCAGCTATGAACAATTGTGCAAATCCTGGGATTGCATATTTCACGGGGCAATAATTTGTTACCAGCTTATGAGATGGGTACCAGTGAATGTAGCCCTATGGACGAACAACTTCTGAGATACTTCGCCGACCTAAACGGGGTTAGATCGCCGAAATGAATGAGGATGTGCCGAATGAGTGTCCGGCATGCGGAGAGACCCCACATGACTCGAAACATCTCTTCGCATGCCCGGAAAACCCAACAACCCTAACGACCTTGTCCCTGTGGACCAACCCCACAGAAGCTGCGCGCTTCCTAGGGTTGCCGTTAGTGGAACTTGGCGACAACGACTGAGATACCAACCGTCCTGGGCATGAACCAAAAAGACAAGATAACGCGGGCAGGAGACTAGCCCGTTAGAATCGCATTAAGGAAAAAAGTTGAACGATTTTGACATTAGCCGTTTATTTACATTTCTTCGTTGTTTACAATTTGGTGGTGGCTTTTTACTGGAATTTTCTTCATTTTCGCTTGTGACAACGTGTGTACACATACGATAAAGAATAATTTAACACAACGGCATGATTTTTAGAAGAATTTGCATAATAAAAATGATTTTTCATGCGTTCAACAATTTCGCGGTTTTCTCCGTTCTCTTCGTTGTTTACTTCTTACAGCAAAGATGGCGTCGAGATTTCGGCAGCTAGAAAATAACTTTTTTCGTTCTTTCCGTCCCGCGTGATCTTGTGTCTTTCGTTCATTCGTCCTGGGCGGGGTTGTTGTAGCTGCTACAACAACAACAACAACATGGGTACCAGTGTTGCCAAATTCGCCTTTTCCGAACAAATTTTGTGGCTTCTTTTTCATTTGGTAGGTTGGTAGGCAACGTAAAATTTTGGTCGTTTGTAAAAAATTGCGAAAAGCATTGAGACATTGCGCTGCAACATATTTAGTTTCTTTTCCCACAGTTCAAAGAGGATACATAAACTGAAGGAATTTCAGCAGCCATATGTTTTCCTAACGAGTGCGACAGTGATGCAAGGCTCTCATGTACAGGGGGAAACTGGTGACAAATTGCACGCCGCCCATACAAAATTCACCAGATTTGTCACCAATTTTGAAGTGAACGAAACCCGCTTCTTCACCACATTTTTCACTACTTTTGGCTGGCAGGGTGATTGAGACAATTGGAAAAGTATGCATGCACTAGTGAAAAAGTGTGCATGTATTTCTGTTGTCATGACAATATTGTCCGGTGTTAACCAACAACGTAAGCGGTTTGATCAAACGTCAACATGGCGGTCAAAAAATTAAAAAAATTTTATTTTTGTTCACATTTGCCTCAAACGGCTTGTCAAACCTTCAAACACCCCCATATACAACATAAATAGCTTTAAGTCTGCATTTGATGCTAAATATTCAAAATATTATCGATAATTTTTTTCATTCCATCGTTATATTTTAAACTTATTTTGAACTTGCAAAATCTTGATAACGAAGAGAGAGAATATGCATTGTTCGATCATAAGAATATTCATATTTATTCTTGATTAGATCCAGAGAATTATAGTAAAAAAATTTGGAAATAAAAGACTCTTCATTTTCATATAAGTTTCCCAATTTATTTACTATGGGTGGATGAAACATTTTTGGGTGAATTTTTTTCAGTCGAAACTCAGGATAAGGCAGAATATGTTTGCGGCAACGTTTGTGCCGACTCGCCATGTTATGTGCGTCTTGTCACTCGAAAGCATCCCTGTGAAAAGAATTTCTATCTGCCGGGACCTTTAGTCTCTCAGAAATGTTTTGACTTTCAGGTTTTTTGACATCTGGAACGCTTTACTGGACAAAAGACCTGCATATCGTGAATATCCATGATTGAATAATTATAATTAGTTATTAATCATAATTATTAAATCATGGGGAATAACGTGACAATCTGGAACACAACTTAAGCCTGCTATACAGTTCAATGCAAGCGTGAGCGTGGGATTTTTATTTTGACCAATATCTTCGTTATTACTTAACCTTTAGCAATAGTTGATACATAAAAAGATAGAGAGTTAAAATATCTTACAGAATTATAGAATAACAACTAATTTAAAATGCACAATGTGCCTTTTTTCAAGCTCACACTCAACTGTGTGAGTACGGTAAGCATTCGCATGTGAACGACAAGTTTATGACAGATGTGTGTGAGCGTCCATAAGAATACAAATGGAATTCTTTGCCTTTGCGATCGTTCACGGTCGCACTCGCATTAAACTGTATAGCAAGCTTTATTGCAGTATCGTGCAATCTATTCATAGCTTTTGACCAACCCTTCATTTCATCTATTATCTCACATACAACCCTGGCACAGCCATCTTTATTTATTTCTAAAAATTCACTCGAACACAGCCTCCATCTCGCTTGCACTTATATTGTGCTAATTGACAACGAACGCACACATCGCAGTAGCTCATTCCTTTTCTGCCGAAAGACTGGAAGCGAAAAAGTTCGTCACGTTTTCAAGCATTTTCGTAAGTGAAATGTTTGATAATTTAATTGTAAAATTGCCAAGAATATTTCGTTAGGTATATAAAAAGTTTCTAAATTTTATGTAGGTACGAGATTGAAAGTGCATAACAGCAACGACATCAAGAAAAAGTAAAGACGAACTAAGTGCAACAAAATGCCTAAAAATAAAGGAAAAGGAGGTAAAAATCGTCGTCGTGGAAAGAACGAAAATGAATTTGAGAAACGTGAATTGATTTTCAAGGAGGATCAGCAGGAATATGCACAAGTTACAAAAATGTTGGGAAACGGTCGTTTGGAGGCAACATGCTTCGATGGAGTAAAACGTCTGTGCCACATTCGGGGGAAACTCAGAAAGAAGGTAGGTTAAAATTAAAAAAAAAAAAACGAAATGGGTGGGGGAGGGCGGATTTGCTTTGTATTAAAATGTGCACTCACACTTACGATGGTAAATTTTTAAAAATAAGTAACTGAGTTAAGAAAACTAAACACATTACGAGATCCGGCAGCTGTTTTCTGCAAAAACCTGTATGTATAGAAAGATACCAAGTTCCTGTAACAAGAGTTGCAAAAAATTCACTTTACATATCTACATACATACATATAAACGTATGCATGTAAACATACGTACGTTGTTCATAGTCCCACCTAGGAATGTTCGATATTTAAGAAAGTATCGATGTCATGAATCGATTTAATTCATTGCATATAAAATCTATATGGCGATATATCGGGCTGAACAATATCGATATCGGAAAAATCGATGCTGAAAATCCTCTACCAATTAAATTGAAAATTAGACCTGCCTATCAACTCACCTAATTGTGTTATTTCCATCTTTATATTTACCGAGGATTAAAACAACATGCCGGTCGACTGTATTGTCGAAGAATATAGACAAGACAATTAGTCTAACGGCGCAACGAGTTAAGAGCCGTATACACCATGCAAGCGGTTTGTCGAAATTAAGAGCTAAATAAATTGCACAAGCTGCTGGTTAAACCTACTTTAGTATTTTCTCATACACTTTTGTAGAGGAAATATAAATTTCAACTTAAATATCGATCTTGTGGGTAAGGTATCAATGTTTTCTATATATCAACCTTGGAATATCGATTCAAAAAATCGGTTATCGTGCCTTGGAATATCGATATTCTGAATAATCGATAGGATATCGAACATTCCTAGTCCACCATCATTGCCTCCCAGACTTACCAAACAGCCATGAAAAGCCAAACACAAAGGAAATATGTACATATTTGCGTTGCATTTTAATATTTTTATACGGGATGCTGCACCATATAAATTTTGGGCAAATACCTGATTACATAAATTACACGATGTTACAAAATAAAAACAAGTAAAAATATATAATAAAAAATATAATATTAAACATAGTTATCGACGTTACCGACTCCCTGATGTATGAATGGAGGCGAAAACGTCGATAACGATGTTTAACCGCAGATTAGTATTAACCTGACATTGAGTAACCGACCCTTATAGCCCAGTTATGCATACTTGCACTGCTTTACCATTTTTACGTAAAAATCAAAACCCAACAGAATTCTACATGTTACATTACATTTTTTTCGCATTCTCTTGTGTTTTCTATTTGCTTCCAGACGCGTCAACTTTTATTGAATTAAATTTCTTGGTTGTTGTTGTTGTTGTTGTTGTTGTTGTTGTAGCGGCTACAACAACCCCGCCCAGATCGGTTGGTATCTCAGTCGTTGTCGTCAAGTTCCACTAACGGCAACCCTAGGAAGCGTGCAGCTTCTGTGGGGTTTGTCCACAGGGACAAGGCCGTTAGGGTTGTCGGGTTTTCCGGGCATGCGAAGAGATGTTTCGAGTCGTGTGGGGTCTCTCCGCATGCCGGACACTCATTCGGCACATCCTCATTCAGCCTACTCAAGTAGGAGTTCAACCTGCTGCAGTAGCCGGAGCGAAGTTGAGCGAGTGTTGTGCGTGTCTCCCGAGGCAGATGAAGCTCCGTCTCGTCTATGTCCGGGGGTGGTATGCCTAGAACGGCATTCACAGGTCTAGAGTCTACATAACTCGAGACTGAGTCCCTGTGAATGCCGTTCAGGGCCTGTCTGTAAGCTGTCGGGTCCAGAGGTTGCTTAATGAACCTCTGGACTTCGTCCGTCAGTTCATATAGATGCCTCCTGACGTGCCTAGGCGAGGGCTCCTCTGCAAGCAGCTGTCTGCTTGGGTGGCCACTTCTGTGGCTCCCGATCAGGAACTGCTTGCAGAGCATTATATTATGCTCCCTTACAGGGAGCATTTGTGCCTCGCCATGCAGGTGGTGTTCAGGCGACATCAAGAGGCATCCCGTCGCTGTTCTAAGTGCTGTATTTTGTACCGTCTGTATCTTCGTCCACTGCGTCCTACTAGTCCCTGGCGACCACACTGGCGCTGCGTAGTTCAAAACCGGCCGGCCTATTGCCTTGTATGTCGCCAGCAACGTTTCTTTGTCTTTGCCCCAAGTACTGCCGGCTAGCGTCTTGAGGACCTTGTTGCGGCTCTGTACTTTATTGACAATAGCGGTTGAGTGCGCAGAGAAGGAGAGCAGGCTGTCGAATG